AAAATGGGGCCATGAATGTCATCCCTAAAACTGCCTTGCATTGTGTTTATGGTTTAATATCAGCACCTCAAAACTTCCTCTAAACAACATCATTTTAGTTTATTATTTCTGTTACAGTGGGGCAAGAAAAAAACATCATTAAGGATACACTTCATTTTTCATTTGAGCCTTCTGTCTCCTTCAGCTTCAGTCCACAAGTGAACTATTTTGGAAATCTGAAGGCAGTATGCTTAGTCATTTTTAAAGTAGGTAAGAAGTGGTGTGCAAGAGAGATTTTCCTATTTTCTCCTGTTGTTGATATATATATTTTTAAAAGCATCGTTATGTTGATAGCAAGCAGCTGAAGAACAGCAGGATTCAAGGCCCAATTCATACTGAGTAGACAACTGTATTCACTCAGGCCTTTCAAGACAACATTTATAGATTTATTCCATATGAAGATCTAGTCTTTAGTGCATGGTTCTCTGTGCAGAGTCTAGTGACAAACCTGACATGACCCAGACTTTTTCTCGCTTGCTTACAACCAGTAGAATCTGAAGGTAGGACAGAATTTAGCCTTTCTGTACCTTCTCTGCACCAGTGCTGAAAGGCCACTGTGTATGGCTGTCACGAGCCATATGTCAGGAGCACTGCCTGATAATTTTCTGTGTTATTGATGACCAAAGGTAGAGAGCTCAGCTTGGCTGTTAGAATGTGCAACTAGAATTATTTTAAGGTGTTAGGTGAACAAATGTAATGCTGAAAGAAGTGTGAGAACTCAGAAATAAAAACTACATGAAAACAGTTACATATATATGTATACATAGATGTATGTATATATGTTTAACATATATGTATGTATAAATAAATTCTAGTTGTCTGTTTAGTGTTCATCTCCCATTCCTGTTGCTATATAACAGAAGATGGGAGTTGGAGCTAGGACATTGTGTGAGAATGTCATGGAGGAGCAAAATGCAAGATTTGGGATAGGTGTCAATGCAGGCAGGAAAGTATAAAGTTTCGAGCACAAGTATAGTGAAGAGAGGATGGAGTGTCTTTGTGTTAGAATCAGGAGGAAGGCCAACAGGGCAGATGTCATAGTGGGAGTCTATTATAGGCCACCCACTCAGGACAGAGAGTTGGATGAAATATTCTATAGGCACTTAGGAGAAATCTCATGATCACTTGCCCTTGTTCTTGTGGGAGACTTTAACTTCCCAGACATCTGCTGGAAATACAACACAGCAGAGCGGGACCAGTCCCAGAGATTCCTGGAATGTGTGGGAGATAACTTCCTGACACAGCTGGTGAGTGAAGCCACCAGAGGAGATGCCCTGCTGGATCTCCTCTTTGTGAACAGAGAAGGACTGATGGATGATGTGGTGGTTGGAGGCTGACTAGTGATCATGAAATAATAGAGTTCTTTATTTTTAGGCCACGAGAGGGGGAAGCAGAACTGCCATCCTGGACTTCCAAAGGGCTGACTGACTTGTTTAGGCAACTGCTTGACAGAATCACTTGGGAGACAATCCTGAAGGGTATAGGGGTCTAGGAAAGCTGGTCGCTCTTTAAGAAGGAGGTGTTAATGGCTCAGGAGCAGGCAGTCCCCACGTGCTGTAAGAGAAGCTGGTGCCAGTGAAGACCACCCTGACTGAACAGGGAGCTTTGGCTGCAACTCAGGGAGAAAAGGAGAGTTTACAGCCTTTGGAAGAAGTGGCTAGCCACTCAGAATGATTACAAAGATGCTGTGAGGCTATGCAGGGTGGAAATCAGGAGGTCTAAAGCCCAGCTAGAAATTAATCTGGTTTCAGCAGTCAAGGATAACAAGAAATGTTTCTATAAGTAAGTAAGCAGCAAAAGACAGACCAGGGAGAGCCTCCATCTCCTGCTAGGCACAGGAGGAAATATGGTAACAAGCGATGAGGAAAAGGCTGAGGTGCTTAATGCCTTCATTAATTCCTTCTTTGCCTCAGTCTTTAATAGGAAAACTAGTTGTATTGAGGGAATCTAGCCTCCTCAGCCAGAAGACAGAGACTGGGAGAATGACCCCCCCGCAATCTAGGAGGAGATAGTCAGTGACCTGCTGCATCACCCAGACACACACAAGTCGATGGGATGGGATGGGATGGGATGGGATGGGATGGGATACACCCAAGGGTGCTGAAGGAGCTGGTTAGGGTGCTTGCCAAGCTGCTTTCCATCATTTACCAGCAGTCCTGGCTGACTGGTAGATACCGACAGATTAGAAATTGGCCAATGTGCTGCCCATATATAATAAGGGCCGGAAAGATGATCCGGGAAATTACAGGCCTGTCAGCTTGACTTCGGTGCCCAGGAAGCTGATGGAGCAGCTCATCCTAAACACCATCACACAACACATTTGGGACAACCAGATGCTCAGGCCCAGTCAGCATGGGTTTATGAAAGGCAGGTCCTGCTTGACAAACCTGATCTCCTTCTACAACAGGGCGACCTGCTTATTGGATGAGGGAAAGGCCGTGGAAGTTGTCTACCTTGACTTTAGTAAGGCCTTCGACACCATTTCCCACAGCATTCTCCTGGTGAAACTGGCTGCTCATGGCTTGGATGGGCACCCGCTTTGCTTGGTAAAAAACTGTTTGGATGGCCGGGCCCAAAGAGTTGTGATGGAGTTAAATCCAGTTGGCGGCCGGTCACGAGTGGTGTCCCCCAGGGCTCAGTTTTGGGGCCACTCCTGTTTAACATCTTTATTGATGATCTAGACGAGGGGATCGAGTGCACTCTCAGTCAGTTTGCAGATGACCCCAAGTTGGGTGGGAGTGTTGATCTGCTCGAGGGTAGGGAGGCTCTGCAGAGAGACCTGGACAGGCTGGAGCCATGGGCTGAGGCCAACTGTAGCAATTTCAATAAGTCCAAATGCCAGGGGCTGCCCTTGGGCCACAACAACCCCCAGCAGTGCTACAGGCTTGGGGAGGAGTGGCTGGAGAACTGCCAGTCAGAGAGGGACCTGGGGGTGTTGATTGACAGCTGGCTGAACAGGAGCCAGCAGTGTGCCCAGGTGGCCAAGAAGGCCAATGGCATCCTGGCTTGTGTCAGCAATAGCGTGGCCAGCAGGGACAGGGAAGGGATCTTACCCCTGTCCTCGGCACTGGTGAGGCCGCACCTCGATTCCTGTGTTCAGTTTTGGGCCCCTCACTACAAAAAGGACATGGAGTTACTTGAGTGTGTCCAAAGAAGGGCAGCGAAGCTGGTGAAGGGTCTGGAGCACAGGTCGTACGGGGAGAGGCTGAGGGAACTGGAGTTGTTTAGTCTGGAGAAGAGGAGGCTGAGGGGAGACCTCATTGCCCTCTACAGTTCCCTGAAAAGAGGTTGTAGAGAGCTGGGGATGAGTCTCTTTAACCAAGTAACAAGTGATAGAACAAGAAGGAATGGCCTCAAGTTGCACCAGGGAAGGTTTACTGGATATTAATATATTTTGTAATTACCTCTGTTGACTATTGTTTTAACAGAAAGCCACGGTTTAGCCTGGATATTAGGACGTATTTCTTTACAGAATGGGTTGTTGGGCGTTGGAAGGGGTTGTCCAGGGCAGTGGTGGAGTTCCCCATTCCTGGAGGTGTTTAAAGAGTCTGGTTTACATAGCACTGAGTGATATGGTGTAGTTGAGAACTGTCACTGTTAGGTTAATGGTTGGACTAAGTGATCTTCAAGGTCTTTTCCAACCCAGATGATTCTGTGATTCTGTGATTCTGATTTTGTGAAAGCAAGCTCTAGATTTGTGAGGGTAACTGTGGCTGAATACTGAAATGAAGACAGGAGAGTAAATTTTTGGTCATTCCTGTGTTAGCACATCCAGTCATGACACAGGGAAAATATTTTCATCAATTTTAGTAATATCTAAATGGATTCCTCCTTTCTTCAGGTTCATGATGTGAAGAGGAGCTCCCTTTTTTTTTTTGCATAAAGGGTTATAAATGATACAGCATTAATAAAACCTTATAAACTTAATAAAAGCTCTTCATAATAGTTGTTTATGTAATGTTAGATGTATGGTGATGTAATATTGGACAGTTTTACTGGAATTCATTCAGCTTGCCCTATGCAATTCAGATCTGGCTCTTCCACAATGGTAATGTTAAATTCAAGCCAAGAAAATTACTGTGCTTGTCTGTAAAATGTATACATGCTATTGCTTAAGAACTAAATTATAGTTAATAATTTCACTTAAGCATGTTCGACACTGATGGTATATCTTGTGTCGAGGAATAGGGTAAATATAGAGGCAAAGTTGTTTCATTATATAAGTCAAATCTTAAAAGGTTTCATGTGCAGTCAGTGTGTGGGTTTATGTGTGTTTGTTTATATGCCTACATAATCGCTCATCTTCTAGGCTACGTATTTCCCTTGTCAAAAGTAAAATCACGTTAAACACTTTTAAGTACGCTTATTATATAGTTTCTTTCATCCAGCCTTCTCATGCTACTTTAGTATGCCTCATAATCCTTGTATGACAGAAAATCCATATTATTAGTAGTTAAACAGAATCACAAGGTAATTAAACTTTTCTATATTGGCACTGCCATTCCTGTTTCAAAGATGTGTTTATTCTGAATTCACTATATTCCTGTAAAATTTCAGTAGACATGAAAGCATATTAGTTTCTATCTCAATATATCTGCTCAAGGTCAATCCTGGAAGTGGTTGCATGTGTATGTGTGTGGGTGACTGTAACTTGCTGTGCTTAGGTTAGTAACTGTCTGTGCTTTCTTCATCATTCTTTTTGGGTTTGGTTATTTGAGATTCCTCTCTTGAGTTAACAGGCTTGATTGCAGGATGCACTTTTTTAACTGAGGATATAGCCAGTTAAGTCAGTCAGAATTTGACTTTGTAATTCTTATACTCTTGTTCTCATACTGCTTCTAAATATTCCACTGTCCCTTTGCAAGGTGGATACATAATGCAGAACTGAACCAAACTCTCTCCCCAAGTTCTGAAATGTCTAAAAGCTATCAAGATAGTATTTGACTTCTTTTCTTTTCCAGCTTAACCCACACTATCCAGAAGGTAATAATGAAGGAAAAGCTTTGGTAAGTGGAATTTATATGTTGCACATAATCTGGAAAATACTGTATCCTTAACCCAGTACAGCCCAACATATGAAAGACATTCATAGCTTTCCTTTTATTTACATGTTACAGCTGCTGCGATTGTTTTCCATAGCCTGTGTAAGCTAGGGTGCAACTCAGAACTGGCATTACAGAAAGTTCTCTCTGGTGTCAGGCAAACGATGGGAAACTTACTTAAATTGTCATTAGCTGGAAGCTGTTCTGCTGACTGCAGATATGAAATGTATTAATTCTTCTCAAATCAGATGTATTACTTCATGGCAAAACCCACTACCCTCTTTAGCAAGAAATTGAGGGACAAGCAAGTCTGGTTACTTATGTGCCAGTATCAATTCAGAGGCTCTGCTAGTGAAGGCAAGCCCCCTTGGGGCATGTTTGTCAGTCAAGTGTAGCTCTAAATATAAGAACATGCTGGGACTCTTTTTATTGCCTATATTGAATACATGCAAGCAGGTATTCAGGCACAGGCTTAGTCTGAGGCCTGCCACGCTTCAGGCAACTCTATCATGACATCTTTGCAAGGATCCAAGTTGTCCTTGCTGCAGTGTGGATGGGTTGGATAAAGGCCTTATGCTTAGAATGCAACAGCCTTTGCCTTGTACAATATCAAGAGCATACGAGCTAATTCTAACTAGCGAGCCAAGGGCAGATATGTTGTCATTTTTAACATTTGAAGGAAGTGGAGTTAAAACCCTGTGGGAATCTTACAGAGGCAACAAATAGTCCAAAACCTAATCATTCCTCCGTCAAATTCATGAGATTGCCATGAAAAATGCCAAGATTATCTTTGAAAAAATTCAGTTTTATTTCTTTCTCTTTGCCTTCTGGCTTTTGTTCTTTTAGAGGACACATTTTCAAGTTTTTCTCTGCGTGGGGAAGAATTTTTTTTTCTTCAAGAAATGAAACCCAAGATTCTTACATAATCAGTGCCTTCAGGACTGCAATGTCAATAAAAATGGTGACTTTTGTAGGAGGTGGCAACATCAGTTTTCCATCTTTCCTGGTATTTGGTATTAATGGTAATATGGCAATAACAGCTAAGCTGTCCAGAGAAATGAGAATTCTCTTTCATGAATATAGGGATGTTTCACCAGTTGTTTCTCTTTTGTACTTGAAGCCCCTAGCTTTCGAATGGAAATCGAGATAAATTCTGGAATACCCCAGTGAGTAGGGTGCTTGCTTGAAAATGCTTGGGTTCATGCTCTTGCTCTGTGAACAGTAGAGCTCATCTCGTAGATGAGCATCTGCATTAACATTGTAGTTCACATCATGACAGCACTTCTGAATCAAATCTCCAGATTATTCACTATTTAAGACACTCCAGTTCACTTTGCAGAGCAATATCAGAGCATGTGATCTTATATTCTGTTGGATGGAAGTAAAAAGGTACACACCCCCCTGGAATGTATCTATTGTGCTCAAACCTTTCAGCCCAGAAAATCAGACTAGAACTAGTCTGATGTAAAACCTGTGAAAACATATATAGGGTAGATGCTAGGTCCCTGTCTCCAAGGATCCGATCTTATTGTACCACACTGTACTAATTTAGGTATCGTATAGGGTTTCCAGTTGAAGCAATTCCAATTCATCTAAATAATTAAATATTCTCTGGACTGGGTAATGAAGAGGGAGGAAGAGTAATCTGAACACGAATGTTAAAGGTGACTTCTGTAACAGTCTGGCTTAGTCCTCCTGGGAATTGGTTTCAGCTGAAAACCCAGACCGCATAAATCAGATTAGACATATACTTCCAATAAAAATTTAATCAAAACTGATTGATGATCGAAACTGATGCCTTTGTGGAAATTTTAGTTCATGCAGTCAGCACTTCCTTGTGAAAAATGTTCTGTGAAAGAACTCCTAACAATGTCTGGTAATACCTCCATGTAAATCCAAGTTTACAGGCACTTTTAGCATGGTAGAAATCCCTCTGGATCCTTCACCCTTTTATAGTCTTGTTGGAAATAGCATGAGTCAGCAGTGGCTATTTTAAGCCTTCAGCAACTGAGCAAAAAAGCTTCATTCATATCCCTGTGCAGGAGTTTCTTTTATGTTACAGTGATGCAGTGTTTTTGAATTATCCTTCAAAAGTAAAAGATAATATTTGGAGTTCTTTAAGGGCCAGCTATGTCAGTCTTGTATCCAATATGCACATAACCTAGAGCATGCATGCTTTCTTTGTTCCATGGTTTTCATCTAGTGTTTCTTCTGCCAGGTGACTGCCTAACTGCCTAATTGATTCACCACAAAGGCATCTCCTTTTTAATCTTTTGAAGCAATTAATTTTGAAATACTGCCCATGAGGTAAATCTGCTCTAGAGGGGGAGGTAAAAGTAGACCTACCAACAAAATTTGAAGTCTGAGTAGCAGGGAAATGGGAGATGCATACTTGAATCCTTTCAACTGAAAGAAGAAATTGAGCCTGCAGCCTGTGTTTTTCTTTTCTCTGTTACTCTGTTGGATAAAAGGGTACCAGCTCCTTCTCTGTTGTCTGGGTTTTAAAGTTGGCACAGCCATCTGTGCATTTCATGCCAACCCTTAACTCCTAAATAAGGGCTTCTTGTGCATGTTCACTGCCTGGTTTACAAGTCCTGATCACAGTTGCTTAGGCAACTGAATTTTAGGAAGCAGCAGTGGAGGATTTTCTGTGCTGCAGTAGGGGACATAGGCACCTAGGTTCTGCCTAAATGCATCTTTTCTATCTTTTCTGCCTTGCCTTAAATGACTCAGAATTCTGAAAGGGTTTGGCTCTAGAGAACGTAAATATTACTGAAAGTCACTAGGACTTTTGTACCCAAGCATTAAAGCTACATTTGGACTGTGGTTCATTGCTCATTTATGGGCTGCTGCTTGAGAATTCAGCCAAATTGTCTTGTGAAACACTGCTTTTAATTCTGGCCAAATTTGGCCTTACAATGAGTTGATTAATATTATACATATTTTGCTCACATCAAAACTCCAGAATTTTTTTTTTCAAATGGGAAGACCTTTCTGTGATTGAAAGGCCTTATCAAAAAAAGGCTTCTTCATCTCTTGAAATCTAGGAGATTATAGAGTACCATGCATCAAAACGCAGTGCTCTGCTACAGATCCCATTAAATAAAAAATTGATGTATTTTATGCCACAAAGTAGCCTGTTATTTCTAATCACAGAAATGTACAACATCCAGAAGAATTCTGTAAACATTGGGGAAAAGTCAAGAACAGCTGGAAACCTGGCATTTGTTAGCGCTTTTATAGGTCTTAGCTCCATCTGTCTGCATTTGCATGAGAGAGTGTTAGTCCTAACCAGTTCCAAACTGGCTTTTATTGTTGAGAATTTCTTAGGATTGAGACTGGTATGCATTTACTTTTCTTGTAAAGAAGTTTGACAGATCTACCATGGATTTCTAGATGCAATTTGATGTCTCTGCTTTGGCTTCTGTTTATCTAAATTTATGAATCCCAAACAACTCTGCAGTTCAGAGTTTTCTTTCTTGCTTCCAGCCCAGGTGATTTTTTTTTTTTTTTTTGTGATAAACACTGTAAATTAATTTATTTTATTTTTTTATTTTACTTTCCAGCAACTAAATTTGTTTATTAAAAATTTTATTATGTGGGACACAGGTGATGCAGTTTAAGCAAGTAGAATAAGCTTGGGGAATGTATTGTGTTTTTAAAGGCTTGGTTAGGAATTAATTTGGCAATAAACAATCTGAAAAACATTTAAAAAAAGAAAAAAGAAAAGAAAAATCAGCAGGTTTAAAATGGCAGTGTCTCTGCTTATATAAAGCCAGCAGTCAGACCACTCGAGAGGCTTGGGGGAAGAAGGGGAGACACGGATGCTGGCACATTATTATTATTCTGCTGCTGCACACAGGTCTGAATCAGCTCTGAAAACTCATATATTGTTTCTTACAGAATGTCTCTGGCTCCTAACAACAGAATTGCAACGTGATGTCTCTGCTAAAAATGCGATGACTCACAAATGAGTCAACAATGAAGGTGTTATAGGAGGCTAACTGCCATGCTGTCTGCCAGGGCTTCATAACATGCAGGAGCAAGGCTGGCCATTAATTTACTCGACTTTCTTTTCATATAGAATTTTAAAATCACCTAACCTATGGAGTTCTGCTCACATTACCACTCTCTGGAAATGTTGGTTTTGTAAGAGCTTCCTAAACTTGGGTTAACATTGAGATACCACTTTGTACTGGATTTAACAGGCATTTTCAGAACTCTGGCTGCTATTAAGTTTAATTTCTGCTGAAATCTGTTGTGCAGCTTAATGTATTCATTCCAGAGCAGAGCATTATCCTTGACTGTCTCTATGCCACAAAAGGTGTCTTTACCAATTGGAATTGTAGATTAGGTTTCTAAAAGAGAAGGTATTTCAGGTCTGTCATGTTTTTGTATTGCTTTTTGCAGTTGAAAGGAAGGCCCCTCCATAACCAAAACTCCATATAAATCTCCTGATTTAAGTTTGATAACCAGTTGAGGTCACAATTACAAGCAAATTATATTAAGAGATGTGAGGATGGGTTATCTGCTGGGCTGCAAGTCTCAGGAAAGACAAATCTGATTGTACCTGAGTATTTTGTCTCATTACAATATGGGATTTGTCTACAGTTAAATCTGCCCTTCAAATTGCAAACACCATATTATGTCTGTGTTGGATTTTTCCTAAGCCGCTTTTTAAATCAGTGTGATGCACTGCAGATCAGTGGCATTACTAGGAGTTACGAATCTTCTTGTGAGCCTGGATCAGTATTACCACTCCTCACCAAAATGACTTTGTTTTAACTGACTTTTCTGAACTCTCAGCCTTTGTTTTTCTAGATGAGTCCCTCCTGTAAGAGTGCCCTGGACACTGGCTGTGTGGTAGGGGTGTGTTCAGTTCCCCCATTCTAGCAAAGTCCCTTTGTGCATGTGAGTAGTGTGCTTTGCTTTACTGCTGCAGAATAAGACTGGCAGTGGAGGGCTTTACAGCTCTAGTCAGGTGGACGCTTAGGTTTTGTTAGGCAGAGTGGGATTACTCTGCTCTTTGTACCACCTGGTTTTTTTTGGACTGGGTTGTTCTTCTGGAAGGTGTCCAACTTCTGCCAGACAGAAGAATAGCTGAATGTGCATTTCCTTCACCTTGCAAGCAATATAACCTGTGCACGATGGAGTGAGATGATTCCACCTTCTTCATACCTGTTTTGATTTGTAATTCACCTGCTACTTTTTTTCTTTTTTTAAAGAAATCCTGGGAGTGCTTTCCTTGGCTGTCACTGACCACATCACCAACATCTCTGAAACTGTTCACTGGCTTCCTTTTCATACTGCTTTAAGTTGAATTTTCTTCTTTCTGCATTTGAGTCCCTTTACAGTTCTTTTCCTCCCTTCTCTTCACTGAATCCAGTTTTGCTGGCTGCATCTGCTCATATGCCAGTTTCTTACCTGAGCAAATGTCATCTTGTTTTCATCTGCTTAGGAATGCAGTGCTTCTCCTGAGCTGATCATATTGTCTAATTAATTTGAAATAGTCTAATACTTTAACTTCTTTTCATATCCTCAGACTCATCTGCTGATTCAGTAATGGCTTAGTTAAGTGCAAATTCTGATGACTGCTTACTATATTTAATTAATCATAAGAAACTTTCTGTGTCCAAGTGTGTGTACATTCTCTCTTTCTCACACAGAGACATGCACTCAGTCATAAACATAAATCCATGTATGTTCATGTGTAATTACAGTGTTCTCTCTCATGCTCTCCATGGATCTAAGTTGTTTCCAGAGCTGTCGAGGGTCACTTCTTGTTACAGATCTTTTCCATGACTGATGTTTAACACCCATAATCCAGGTTGGGTTGTAAGGTGTGTCTGAGATGCTGAAATAACATTATAAAGGAAAGTTCTCAGGTTTGTGCTGGAGTCCACTATGAAACTACTGTACAGGTCTTGTGAAGGTCTGATTTTGCTCAACTAAGCTTTGCATTGCAGTTAGTAGTATTACAGACACTTGCCCTCTTTTTAAGTGGACTTTCTTTTTAGACTGAATACCAGCTCTTGCTCATATGCCAGGTCTGATTTGACAACTGCTAAGCCTGATAGGCAGGATTTAGTCCTGATGAGCCAGCTCCATTGCTCAACTACATCTACACATTTAGTGAGTGGAGAGAGTCAGCCTCAAACTGCAGGATTATCTTCTCCACAAAGTTAATGGTTAGCGTGGACTACTACAGCACAGGAGCGCTGCCTTTGACTTTGTCTCCTGTCATAGAAACCTGCACATGTGCATAATGATCTATTGGAGATGATCAGACATTATATCATGAGTGAGTATAAAAAAGCTTTATTACACAGAGTAGAATATGGTTTCATATGTGCTTTCCCAGAGCCCCAGGGTAAAAAATACATACCACTATGAAGTATCCTGCTTTTTTATATACTACTATTTTCAATTTGGAAATTATAGTAGAGTGGGTAGTTTCTGGGAAGCCCTAGCTAGATTTGAATGTAAGTTATGGGAAATATCAGAAAGTTTGAATGCTGTTCTAAACTATCCTATGCTACTTACCACTTTACAGACCTCTTGAATTTTAAACTGGTTTTCCAGTTTTCCATTTTGTTTGGAAATTTAGGAAGTAGATCTTCATTTGATGTTAGACTCTGAATTACACATCTCAGGAGGATTCTCTTACAGTTTGCCTGCCATTTCATTTTGGGTATCATACTGAGCATGTAAAACAAAATATGTATGGAAATCACAAAAAATTTTGCTGTTTTCTCAATCCCAGTTAAGTTTTCAGTGTGATTTTGTTTAATATTTTGGGGACGTTAGGATATGGTAGGATGTGAGGACTGCCAGATGAGTTTACTCTTCTGCAAGACACAAGAGATGGTTGCCTTTTGCCTCAGCAAGCCTTCCTCTCAAAAACTAGTGACAATATGCTAATGACTAGATGAGCCTAAGAAAAACTTCTGGAAGGGTTTCTTCATGTTTTTTTCCTACTGCCTCTGTCCTTGATAGAAGTAATGGGATGGAAAGCTGGCATTTTTTAGGCTTGATAATGAAAAAAATGGATATTTTAAAAGGATTCAGAGTGCGCCTTGGAATGAGATCATAACTAGCTATTTCTTACACAGTTTCACTCATCCTTGTTTTTGTTTCTTTATCAGTTAGCAATATGAATAATCAAACCTTTGCCCTTGATTATCCCTTACAGGTTGGTTTTAATCAAGGTACTAATGCAAAGTGAGTACAGCCTAGACTCTTTACATTGCTTTGTACACCTCTTCCCTAGTGATGCATTATAAATCATTATAATAGTATTTCAGGTTTTCAGTGTTTGATTTTTCTCTTTTGGCTTTCTTCATTCCTTTTTTTCTCTCCCTCTGTGATGTATTTTGTGTATGTGAAGGGCCCTGGGCTGCTTGTCTCTTAATTGGTTATTAGTCTTTTGTAATATGTGTAACTCAGTGTCCCAGAGGAGCAGCTTTTACTTATGCCAGTAATTCTGTTGGTTGCTGTGTGGTTATGGGTGTAGACTCTGAATTACTCCTTCAAGCAAAGGTATGTGCTTAGAGAAGGTAGCATTTACAGTATGTGAAGACAAAGGTATGTAGGTAACTAAAGATAAAGATGGCTGCTTAGTGGTGCTGGGTCACAAAATTCCCACAGACTTTCAGCGGATGGTGGGAGGAAGATTGCCACTGTAGATTTGCGTGCCTCTTCTGAGGCACCAACACAACTTTAAATCTGTCACTTGAAAGTTTGGCTCCTTGAAGGGAAAAAACTTCTCCAGTTGCAGTGGGGAAACTCAGACCTATGTTGGATCCAGCCTCCAGTGTGTTGTCAGCCTGTGCTAATCTAGTTTTGCAATCTAGCTTTGTTTGTCTCCCTTCCAATGACAAGTTGATGTTAGTGGAGCAGATATTGTGTCTCTTGCTGTTTGGAAAGTGTGCTGCTGTGATTCTGACCATATGAGAGGAAGAATGAACAAATAAAACAGCAGTGGATTTAGGCAAATTACTTTTTAAATCCTCTCCCCCCTTGGAAAAATCGAATTTTCATTAGTTCTCTTCTTTTAACTTTGGCCCTTTCCAAACCAACACTGTGTAGTTACATCTGTTGGGAGTGAAGGGTCTGCAATTACCGCAGGTTTTTTAAAGTTGTAGGGTGTCAAGTAGTAATGAATACAGAACCACAGTCTCTCTGTAGTTTGTGACCTGCTGTTGTTATACTGACTGTCTGAGGCCCCATGTGCCTGGTGCAAAGTGCATCCTTCGTGTTACACACTCCAAAGTCAGTCATGGTACATTCTTACTAGACTGTAAAAAAAAGTACAATTCAAATGTATTACTTGTCTGCAAGGTAATTGGAGAATTTATAATGGGCCCTGATGCAAGCAAATAATATTTGTGCCTAATCAGCAGAGAGATGGTGACCTTCCTGCTTCAAAGAAGAAACGCCAAGCAGGGGAGAAGATTATGTATACTTTGGTCTCTGTGCCACATGGAAATGACATCGCATCTCTCTTTGAACTGGATGCCACCACTCTTCAGAGAGCTGATTGCCTGGTTCCAAGGTATAAAAAAAATTTAAAAAGGCAAAATAAAAAAAAAAGCAAATAGTGCTGCATTGACAGAGTTTCTTCCTAGCATTATGCTAGTGTGTAAAGCAGAAAAAAATCAAACATGAGCAAGTACTATCCTTCATTCAAAATTTGAGTAGTGTTCATGGATAAACAAGGGATGTATAAAACATGATACTGCTGCTGTGACTGGGTAAAATAATTATAAGGATAAAACAAGTGACATTTAAAGAGAGTCTGAGAAGAGGAAAAATAATGGGCTTAATATTGCACAGATATATATGAGGACAGAATTGAGCCATTGTGCGCTGTTTGCAAAAACTGTACTACTAATAGATCTAACTGAATTGTTCCCAACAAAATAATGTGTATGGTGAACTGCGCTTCTGTTTCCCTGACAGATCATGATCCCACTGAACACATTTGTTATTCAAATGTATTCTGCAAATGGCTTCTGGGTTTTAATTGTGAATATTTGAAATTTCAACTGTGTTGCTTAGCCGAGATTGGCTAGATAAGTCATACGGGGTTGGTCGTGACTGAATGGGCATGCAGACACTTGGGGCTAGTTGTGAGTGTGGATTTTAAAGCTGGTTACCTGAAATACCAACATATGTAGCTTTAAAGTGTATTTGCTATGTTAAGTTTTGCCAGATAATTTGCTTACTTGAATACTCAAAAGTCCATCAGCATGAAAGAGAGTGAAGACCACAGTGAATATATTTTGAATGTATAATTCAGAGTAAAAATTGTAATTGATTTCTCAGCTCTGCTTTCTGATAATACCACAGGTTATTATATGGAAAGAATTTAGAAGTATCTCATGTCTGCTCTTTGTTCACTTGATTTTCAGTTAAGAACTGGTACTTTAAATGATTGCTCCCTGGCACAAGGGTTTGCAGATCATAATAATAAAGCTGTGAAACCATGGTCAGTTTTACCTTCTGGCTTTTGTGCTGTGACAACTTGAAGGGGTTCATTACTCTGCAGAAAGAAAAAAAAGAATTGGATTTATTCATGAAATGTATTTCTATTCAGATGGGATTTTATACATCTTCCTTTTAAATTTTTTTCTTTAAGGAATATTTTATTCCTAGACTTATATAAATACTTAAAATCAGCATTCTGTAATAAAAACATAATCCCAAGATGCTCTTTGTTCTTCTTGCAGCTCTGTTCTGGGTGAGAAAGAAGGAGACAAGGGAAAAGGGTACTGCAGTATCTTTTAGGTCTCCTTTACCTTTTTATTACAAGTGGCTGGTGTGACTCATGCCCTCAAGTCTCATGTCATGGTCGTGTGTTGTATTTCATCCTGCCTTGCCCACTTTAGCTCAGAACTGATCCATCTAACCTGTTGTTTGCTTTGTTCTCCTTTAGGAATTCATATGTCCGACTGAGGCATTTATGCACTAACACTTGGGTCACTAGTACCAGCATTCCAATAGATACTGATGAAGAGAGGCCTGTGATGTTAAAGGTAAACACATATATATCTTGGGGTTGAAATCCCAGGCTCATTCCTGAAGTTCTCTACTGGTGATCTCACTTCTAACATATAAAATATGCATAATAATTAGAATAAAGGTAAGAGGATCACTTACCCACATAAACCAAAAACTTTTGCAGATTGGGACATGCCAAACAAAAGAGGACAAGGAAGCTTTTGCCATTGTATCAGTTCCTCTGTCTGAGGTCAGAGACTTGGACTTTGCCAATGATGCAAACAAGGTTCTAGCATCAACTGTTAAAAAGCTGGAGAATGGAACACTAACACAGAATGAAAGGAGGTTAGTGAGTTGTTTTTTTTTCTTCCTCCTAAATTGGTGTTTGGTTGCTCATGACATCACAGTAATGGGTAAATTAGTAACATCTGTGTGGACACAGAGGCAATTAGGACAGGACACTTAAGTGATGAGAGTGGATTAGATTCCATCTCTGTCAGAGCATCCTTGCTGCACCTCAGGTTGGTCTATATACCTCATCTGTAAAATGGGGTTAAACAGCACTTCCCCAGCTCACTGGCCATATGAAAGGGTAGCTCCCTGGTCAGATGCAAAGTGTTTGTCTTCTTTCCTTTGATAATCCACTTCTGAGCTGTAATGTGGGGTTCTATTGCATTTGCTTCTCATGTACAAGAAAGCCATCTATGCAGTGGGCAGCATGGTAGGACTCTTGATTCGTGTGGAGTTCACTGTACTGCACATTCATGCTACAAGAGCTGTAGAAGGAGGTCTCAAAGTAACACAGAAGCTGCCTCAATAGTTCCTTTCCTATTTTTATATTTCTTTTTTGCATTTTCTGGAGGTAGAAGGAATTACTACTGCCTCTGTCCTTTCTAGCACCTTCTTCTGCCAAATTTTCTTTTGTGTAGCAAAGAGTGAAACAAATACAGTCATTTTTCAATAGTTTCTTGGGTCAGTGGGGAAATAGTCTAGCGGCAGAATGTTTTTATTCCTCTATTGAATCCATGTTGTGGTTTAAGCCCAGAGAGAAACTAAGCAGCACAAAGCTGCTCACTCAATCACTCCTTCCCTCTCAGGGGTGGGGAGGAGAAAATAAAGCAAAAGGCTTAGGTATCCAGACAAGGACAGGGAAGAATGACTTGTGAATTATGGTCACAGGCAAAAGACAGACTTGATTGAGGAAGAAAAAAGAAGATCAATTTAATTTAAATACCACCACCACAACCACTTAATTTTCCAATCAGGGTAGGACAGTGAGAAGCATTAACACATCTTCAGAACACCTCCCCCCACTCCTCCCTTCTCAGGCTCTAAGCTCTGCTCCCAATTTCTCTACTTATTCCCCCACAGCAACTCAGGGGAATGGGGGTTGTGGTCAATTCGTCATACATTGTCTCTGCCTCTCATTCCTCATCAGTGGGAGGACTCCTCACACTCTTCCCCTGCTCCAGCATGGGGTCCCTCTCATGGAAGACAGTCCTCCACAAACTTCTCTGATGTGAGTCCTTCCCATGGGCTACAGCATGGGTCCCACCCATGGGCTGCAGTCCTCCCAGAAACAAACTGCTCCAGCGGGGGCTTCCCTCAGAGTCCCAGCCTTCTTCAGGCACAGCTCCCTGCTCCAGCATGGTGTCCTCCACAGGCTGCAGGTCAGCATCTGCTCCACTGGTGACCTCCATGGGCTGCAGGGGCACAGCCTGCCCTCTCTCCACAGACTGCAGGGGGGTCTTTGCTCCAGTGCACCTCCCCCATCCTCCTCTTTTCTTCCACTGACCTTGGTGTTTGTATAGGTATTTCCCTCACTCCTCCTCTTCCTCCCAGGTTCCCCTTCTTAAATACATTATCACAGAGCATGGCCACCATCATTAATTGGCTTGGCCTTGGCCAGAGGCGGGTCTGACTTGGAGCCAGGGGAACTTAATGAAGCTTCTCACAGTGGCCACCACTGTGGCATCTCCCCTGATACCAAACTCCTTGCCACACACACAAACCAAACATAGTGTATCGTCTTGTTTCACAGATCCATGTCTGTGATAAAGTATAAAAATCTTTGATAGGCTGCATAAGAGTGTCTTTGTACTGTTCTTGGGCCTTGAGACCAGCTGGTATAGATTTTGGATTTCTGAATACTCTGCATCAAGGTAACATCCTGTATTTTTCTCCCTTTTTCTTTCTGGTTATTATTTAATGCCTTGGTAGACATCCCTGTTGATGGATTTAAGCCTCTGCTGAACCAAGGTCTGGAATCCTTAAATACATTTCAAACTTAACTTTGCAGTTATTAAGGTTCCATTACACTAAATAAAGGATGTTCTAAACGGTGATTTTCTTTCTTAATGAATCCCTAGCAAGTGTTGAATAACTGTATATAATAATGATTTGTCTATTCGTCCTAGGTTTGTAACCAAGTTATTGGAAGATCTCATTTTCTTTGTTGCTGATGTGCCTAATAATGGGCAGGAAGTTTTGGATGTGGTCATTACCAAGCCAAACCGTGAACGACAAAAATTAATGAGGGAGCAAAATATATTGGCTCAGGTATGTCCTACTGTATTAATAACTTGCTTGTATTTACAGATTGTAAGAGAGAGTGGTTTGAGAAAACATTATTTTTAGGTGACTTGGCTTATGCCATGTTGGGTTTGTGTCTGACTGGATTGGATAGATATAACACTATTTAGTCAAGGCCTTTGAATCAGATAAAAAGCATGAGGGGCCATGTCTGATAACTGTTAGTTTTGTGTGATTCTGTTGACTTTTAAGACTACATTTGATAGGAGATTGTTGACAAAATTTGAAGCAAGCTTGCAACATGGTCCCAGTCCTGCAGGTATTCTCCATATAGGAATAATTCTAATGCCCTTATGGATCCCTGACTTTGTTTGAGGGCCAACCTGCACGTAGATCAAAATTAATATTATCTTTAAGTAGCCTACTGGAATTAAAAGAAAAAAAGTGAAAAAGATGAAATTGGACAGCAGCCAGTATTGTCTTCCTTTTTCTTTTTTAATTTATCCAGAATTAAGGCACTTAACTAACAGTGTTTAAAATTGGGGATAGCAGTAAAGAGAAAGCAATGTCAGTCAAGTTGGTGGGCAATTGAAGCTATATGCATAAAGCTGTTATGTCTGAGATCACGCCCCCACTTGTATTTAGTCATATGTATTTCGTCATATCATCCCTTTTGCTGATCTTGTCAGAGACCATTTCCATTGACTGCTACAAGTTAAGCAAAAATATGGGTTTGATTTTCATTCTCAGTGGCTTTGATTTTAAACAGATATTTGGCATCCTTAGAGCTCCTTTTAAGGACAAAGGTGAAGGATCGATGTTGAGACTTGAAGACCTAGGTGACCAGAGATATGCCCCATACAAATACATGTTAAGATTATGTTACAGAGTCCTCAGACATTCCCAACAGGACTATAGGAAGAACCAGGTCAGTGGTGTTCAAGATAATTTTCATTCTCATTTCTATAATTATATATCCTGGGTTTGACATTGCTCTGCACTTAAAAGTGGGATTCTGTAGTAATGATAAAAGGACTGGGTTTTGTGTAAGTTAGTAGTAAGAAACCACTGTCATATACTTCCTCATGCTGAGGAACAGTGGTTTTGTTTTATAGTCGTGTATATGAATTGAATGATCAGTAATGAATATCATAGGTTCACCTTGTACTTTGACAGGCTCAGACTGAGATTGGGGTCCATTGCTTCATTCATGAGCTTTCTGTTATTAAAACTATGCACTTGGACTCTGGTTTATAAAGTGGGAAGTCTGTAAACTAACTGTTTCTGTTGTTCAGATATTTGTAGAGGGATGGCAGTGAATCAGACCAGAGGTTATTCTATCAGGTAGCTTGGTCTCCTACTGCTGGAGACTCCCCATGAGCAAGAAGTATTTCAGAACATGGTGTTGAGCGTTATGCATGTTGCAGCAGGGAAAAACTGCACTAACTTTATAGGACTAAAGGGAATAGAGATAAAAGACTTAACTGCTATGTGTGGCTTTTTGTTTTCTTTGTAATGTTTTGCAGAAATATTTCTGTCTTGGGGGGGGAGAAAGGGAGGAGGGAAAACTCAGGAAAGCAAGCTTCTTAAATGTTCTAGAAACCTTTTGGTTTTTCCTCTTAAAAATGTTGGTTGCCATTTCTTTAATTTTGTGTATATTATCATGGATTCCTTTATTTGGTTTATGAAAGAATAAGAATTACTCATCTCTAATAATGAATCTGTTTCTTGGTGTACGTATTTCAGGTGTTCAGATGTTATTTTGTTCAGGTTAGTTCAGAGAGGTAAGTTTTGAGGGTTATTTTGATTGCTAATTGAGCTGGATGCTTCTGGTTCTAAAAGAAAAACATCACTGCTTAACAGCTCATCAAGGGAATTTTCATTTTTTCAGGAATATATTGCTAAGAACTTCTGCATCATGCAATCCCAGATTGGTTATGATATTCTGGCAGAAGACACTATCACAGCTTTGTTGCACAACAACAGAAAACTGCTAGAGAAACACATCACGGCTAAAGAAATAGAGACATTTGTTAATTTACTAAGGAGAAATCGAGAACCAAGGTTTGAAGTGGTCCATGCAATATTCGTTTTCTGTATTTATAGGCTTTTATATTTGCAGTAGTTGTGAATCTGCCTGCTGTTTGTTGTTTTGTTGTCTCTCTCTCTCCCAGCTTAATTTTTTTTTTGTCCTGGCAGAAAAAAACCCACATGTACAGCATCATGCTAGAAAATATCAGAACTACCTGTAATTCTTGGGATTTGACCATATCTGCAGTTCAGAATTAGAGTTCACTGAAAAGTGGATTTATACTTCACAGGACAATTTTGGAAATTTGGTTTTAGTTCCGATTGGGACAAAGAGAAACAAATAGACATTTTAATTTCTCAGAACTCTGCAGTTTCTCTGTGAAACTGTCACTTGTATTGGTTCCCCTACTAATAATCTTGGTGCAGATTGCACAGATACCAGTTTTCCTGCAGGTTCAGATTCCAGGTCAGACCTGAAAGGGGCCTAGGGCAGCGAAGATCCCAGTGAACATATGTCTTAGACCAGATCTCCTTCCAGATGAAAAATTCTGGCCTTGAACTTCATTCAGCTGGAAATTATATTAGCTTTAGGTCAGAATATAAAGGAAATTGATTTTAATTTATTTTTGAATGGGGTTTTTATGTGAAATTTCTTTCATTGGATTTTCAGTTGTAAAATTACTGAAGTGGTACAAATAAAAGCAATTAATGTACTTAAGTCCAAATAATGTCCTCTGTAATTGCAAATACCATTTTTCTGTTAGTGATGAAAGCTACTGCTCAAGGCCCTGGTGCTTCACTGCTTCAATTGTTCTCTATATGACTGTAGCCATATTGTCTCACCCTGTAATCTCATTTCCTCTCCCATGCTAAACTGTGTTGGGTGTGGTCAGTATTAAATGGAAACCCCATGAGATCAGGTCTTTCTTAGTGCTGAAGGGTCCTAGTGTTTGTTGTCCGTCTCATGTCATGTTTTTGTGATGGAGGATGTCATACTATTTGTTGCATAACTACATTGTGCAACTACTATGTATTCATTGCTTTAAGGCTGAAGTCCAAGAGCCATAGATGTTTGAAAAAGTACACCTTGCTAGATAGGCAATTGGAACAGTAAAAGCTTGATCTTAGGACACTTATTTTCATGGAGAATCTTGTAGACTTCTGCAACACTGCTCATGTGAATAAGAATTGTGGCAGTATGCTCTAAAACACATGAGCTACAAAATTAATAACCTTCCTGAGTTTTATCTCCAACTAGGTAACTCCCCCAGAATTCAGTTTAAGTATGTGCTGTTTATTAACATTATCTTTGTGATGCAATATTGCCGTGCACTGTTAATTACCTGTTGCCATAAAGCTTAATTTCAGTGATGGGTAAAATTGTTCCTAAGTGTATCCTACAAATGCTTTCTGTACTTATCCCTTGCAGTTCCCAGACTTCTGTGGGAAGCGTGGTCTGTGCTAATGCAGACATGATTTTCTGATTCCCTCTGGTAGGATGATCACCTATAGAGGTTCAACTATTGGATCCTTGAATGGCTGATAGTAGATGGTCAGATCTTTTTACCTGGATTTCTAAGTGGAGTATATGATCTGTGTGTGTGTGTGTGTGTGTGTGTGCCTGCTCATATCTGCTTCCCTACCAGCTTTGAGCCTCTTGCCCAGTTTAGCTACATTTGCTAGAGGAGTGGTGGGCTCAGAGATACTCAATTTCTACATGTCATGAAAAGAAGCAGCTACATAGAGGGAAGAGGCCCTTACTATATTCTAGTGAGGCAAAGGCTGCAATATGGGCTACTGTTAATAGAGAGGAACCTATGAAAGGAGGACAAGAAGCAGATACCTAATGAAGGTCTCAATTTTGAGGAAAGCCTCAGGCTGAACCTTGTTAAACATCAGAAGACCTAAGTTTGAGAGACAAATTTATAGGAAACTTGATTTTCATGCAAAGCTTTTGTTATTTCTGCTTTATGTGGAATGACTTCTTTGAATAGAGAGGTCCTGTCTTCAGGTCCTGCCAGATCTTCACTCTTCACTAATTGTTGGCTGTGTCACTTCAGAGATTTCAAAATGCATCTTTCGAAGGTAGAGGTGTGGACTCCTCCAGTGCATTGGAGTTCCTCAGAGGGCAACACGGCTATCTCCAGCATAAGTAACATCTCCTTGCTACTTGGGTTAGAGAGGCATGTGTTACCTGGTGAGGAGGATGGGTGAGAATGTGTAGTCTTGCTTTTTGTTCCTGACAAGTATGAGTACCTTCAGTGGAACAGCCTCAGGCTGCTTGTAAATTCTGGTACAATTCTTTGGCCTTTGATTTGCTGAGGAAGTGTCACACTTGGGATATTTTTCTTTTCTCTCCCTGACTCAACACCATTCAGGGTGGCTTTCAAAGCTATTACTCATCTTTATCTGTTGTGAGTTGCAATAGTATGAATTGGCTAAGATCATATGTAGATAAATTTTGTGTTATATGCTCCCTTGAGCATATTGGTGATGAATGCTTTAGATTTCTACTGCAGTGTTTCTATGTAGTATTTTAATTCTTGTGTTCTGTTACATCTGTGGTTTTTTTGACTGCAGATTCTTGGATTATCTATCAGACCTGTGCGTATCGAATACCACAGCAATACCAGTAACTCAGGAACTCATCTGCAAGTTTATGCTGAGCCCAGGGAATGCTGACATTCTCATTCAGACCAAGTGAGCATCCATAAACAGAACATACCTTTTTGTTATCTACTCTGTTATATTCACAGCAGTTTGATAGTGGCTCCATTGTGAATGGTTTGTGTTTGCAGGCTGGTTTCAACACAAATGAACAATCCCTTGGAATGCCCAGTCATCTCAGAAGACATTGATGAAGAGGAAGTATGGCTTTACTGGATTGACAGTAACAAGGAGCCTCATGGCAAAGCCATCAGGCATCTGGCTCAAGAGGCGAAGGAGGGCACAAAAGCTGATTTAGAAGTTCTTACCTACTACAGGTAAAACTGCTTATTCAAATGAAGGAAAATGTAAACTCTCTGAAGACCCTCATGATGTTCTTATCCAGTTTATCTGCCAATACCAAAAAAGGAAACAAGGTCATGCCAGAACTGGGATTAAAAATTTGTTTCAGTTTTTTCCTGTAATAAGCACCATAATTTCTGCTGTCTCTCTATCATTTTGCCTCTTAGTTTTTATTTATTTGGCTTTATTTTTAGCTTGTGCTGCCCTGGAAACAAGGCATGCTCTGAGGAATGAGTGTCCTGAGGATTAGAGAGGAAATGGGATCATGGAATAGTGTCTTAAACTGATGAAAACAAATAGTCCAAATGCTTCAGCCTTCCACTGAACAATGCTTCCTTTGAGTTTCAAAGGGAGCCCAGTCTTCATGGCAGCTGGAGCATGATGTTAGCATTTGTAATGGCAAGTTTATCCCTTGCTTAGCAAAGTTGCTCTTGTTATTTTTTAGGATTTATATCAGAAACACTGATATCAGGCTTGTAAAGTGATATTCTGAAGTATGTTGTTTAATTTCCAACTGATTTCTTTTAATACTGTATGTAATTACCTCTTTTTAAGGTATCAACTGAACCTCTTTGCAAGAATGTGCCTGGACCGCCAATATCTTGCCATCAACCAGATTTCTGCACAGCTGCCGGTAGACTTGATCCTACGATGCATGTCTGATGAAAGCCTCCCTTATGACCTCCGGGCTTCTTTTTGTCGGCTGATGCTACACATGCACGTGGACAGAGATCCTCAGGAGTCTGTGGTACCTGTCAGATATGCCAGATTGTGGACTGAAATTCCTACTAAGATCACAATTCATGAGTGAGTTGAAAGTGTTTCAAACTGAAGTACAAAAGTATTTTGTAGCGGTTAGTCTCAGAACAATATGGTTGTAGATATCTAATGTTGTCATAACAGGCATCTGAAAAGGTACTTTGGTGTAGAGCACAGATCTAGTAATTATTGTTATTCTTGGAATCTTCCATGGGTAGCTTTACATGGAAATATTTCAGTTTCATTTTTCACTGTTTTTATAGGGAACAAGGTGGGGAAAAATGGAATGGCCTTTCCTCAGACCAACTGAACTTGAAGTAGTCCAATTGCATCTAACATTACAGGTTTGCTAGGCTGGAACTTAGTTTTATACTTCAAGATCAACTGAAAGCCACAGTTGGAAAGCCAGAATTTATAGTTAGGCACAGCTGTTGCCCCAGAAACAGTTCACAGAAACTTTGGCCTCCATCCAGCAAAGTACTTAAGCATGTGTTAAATTTAAATATGGGAGAAGGGCCCATCAGTGCAAAACCTCTCTGGCTTAATTGATTTGATGGAGCAGCACCGCTGGGCTAGCCCCAGACAGGGAGTATCTGGATGAAGAGACAAAGAGGAAGAAGTATAGCAGTGAAGCAGACAGTATTGTTTCTGGTAGTGAGATGAAGGACTGTTTTGACATACATGAAAAACTGGTCCTAGTTGGTAGTGCACAGGCGGAAGCTGACTGTCCCGAGTTTCTTTCCTGATATGCTGTCTTCCTTGTGGAAATGGTAAAATCTGACTGATGGGTAGAGAGGATAGCTGAAACTTAGTAACACTGAATTGCCACAGCAAAATATGAGTGCTTTCTGCTGGAAGCATAGTTCTTTCCTGTCTGTTATTCCCATTCACTGCAACCCTTCCTGGTACTGTTGGAGGGAAGGTTTGTGTATCCTCTTTGCGTATCTGTGAAGAATCAGCTGACTTCTACCCCTTCTCCTTACAGAGAGCTGACTATTTTCATACCATAGTGATTAGTTTGTTTTTCCTTTAGTGAGAGATGATCTTATATTAGAGTGGTTTAATTCTCCTTCCTTCTGTGCCTTGCATTGTAGGTATGATTCTTTCACAGACTCTTCAAGGAATGAAATGAAGAGAAAGTTTGCACTAACTATGGAATTTGTAGAAGAATACTTGAAAGAAGTTGTAAATCAGCCCTTTCCTTTTGGAGACAAAGAAAAAAATAAACTTACATTTGAGGTACTTCTCAGCTATCTGCATCCTACTTATAGTGTTCTTCCTCATTTCAGACAAGTTGAAATCAGTTCTTTCAAAATAAAGGTAGTTGCAGAATAACTGTTGGTATAAATGTCCTAAAGAAGCACCAATTCCTAATTCCAGTGTTCTTGGTGATGACTGTTACTGCAAAAAATAATATTACTGTCTGCTGTCACACAGCTGTAGTTTTCCTTCCTTCTTCTGAGATGGTTGCATTTCAGTGGCAGGAGGAGGGGTATGTGTGTGGGTGAATAGCCATGTGCCCTTTCTTTCCACATTAGTGTATTAGCATGCAGAGATTCTTCAATATAAGTACTATTCTCTGTGTAAGATATGACACTGAAGGAAATATTCTAAATTACCTAATCCCATGTTTTAAATATTGGTTGAAATTCCTGACAGAAACTTTAGATAGGTCTAAGTCTTCTAGATTCAAATAACATTGAATAAAGGGGAAATGCTTACAGCTTTTTTAGTTCTTCCTCCAATCTACTTCCCAAGCTTTTTCACTTCTGCCTCTGGTCGTCTGAAATCACCTCTGTTCAAACTTACCACAGTCATCTTACTCTTCTTCTGACTTCCATCTTCCCTACAGCTGCTGCCTCTTTAAACAATTTCCTGGAGTCATTCTTCTTGATCTTATGTATTTTCCCAGATGAATTGTAGTATTTCAAGCCTTCCTAAATCTCATGTTGATTTTGCTCTCGGTTGTCATTTGACTGAACAATTGTTTTGTCTGTCTCTGAAAAGCATTTAATGTCACTGGCCTTACTCCACAGCCTGTTTAAATCAGTGGAAAGACTTGTACTAATTGGAATGCACTCTAGATCTGAATCTCTGTGAAAGCTGCTGTGTGAAATGCACTGTATTGCACAGCTGAATACCACGAAGGTTGCCAATACTTCCTTCACTTTTAATTTCTTTTTCTCATAGGTGGTACATCTGGCTCGAAACCTCATATACTTTGGCTTTTATAGTTTTAGTGAGCTTCTCAGACTGACCCGGACACTGCTGGCAATTCTAGATATTGTTCAAGTTCCTGTATCATCATACTTCGAAAGGTTGAGCAAGTTTCAGGATGGAGGTGAGAGAAGCAGCAAAGACTGTTATTCCAGTGTGCAATTCATTATTTAGGATCAAAATAATTTATGGAATGTCTTATCAGTCTTTCGAAGTTTCTTATTCACACATAAACCCACCTACAGGAACTTACTGCAAATACATTAAGATGGTTAGCTATAAATTAACCTTTCTGAACAGAGTTGCAACCTTCATGACTTGTGGTTACTGTGTTGGTGCTGATGTTCTTTTGCTTGTTTGGAACTGAACTTTCAAATATAGATCCAAGCCTCAGTGTCCCTTGTGGTGAACATCCCAAGCAAGTGCAGGTAGTGTTTGCCTAGGCACAGTGATTATGATGGCTCATATGTGGCCCAAGTGTTTATTAGTCATCTTAGCACTTCAAGGGAGAATAAGATGTTACTGGTCCCACAGCTGCAGAAGCAACAGATGGAAGTCCAGATGAGGCCATCCTCTGCATGTGTTTGTCAGTTTAGAATATTCCTTTTCTTAACCCAGAGTGAGTGACTGACAACCCCAGGTCAATATTGCATGTCCCACTGCCTTTCCTACCATGACTTAAAACTGAGTTGAAAAATAAGCATGCCAGGAAGGTTCTGAAACTTACAGTTTAGTTTTCCTGCGTGTGTGGAAGAGAGATGTGACAGTCTGTGAGATGTGGGCTGAAGGTTCAGGAAACTGACCGATGGCAAATTCTATTTTAATATGTGGGTGGTGTGAGTGTCATTGCACTGCCAGCTGGACCACAGCATCAAAAAGGATGAGCTGTCTTGTTTGAAAAAACTATTATTTTGTATTTGCTGGGAGGCCATTTCCCAGCCTTGAGTTTTTCTAATCATCATTTTACTTAGTCACTCCTGCTGATGTCCTGTGTGTGAGTGTGCCATCCTTCATAACTTCTTTCTTCTTTGAGGTTCACACACACTGGAGAAGTGTGAACTAACATTGTCATGACTGAGTCAAGAAGTCTTATGCTTGGTTCTCTTGATCTTTCCTCCATCACTGCTGGTACACTTTACTGAAAGCCCTTGAAAGTCTTTCCTGCAATGCTGTGCACACTAAGGCATGCTATCGCTGGCTGCACTTCCTCTACAGCACTAGAAAAAGACTGTATGTTCAGACATTTGGAATTATGTTTCCCTTTTTTGTCCATGAAATACTGTACTGCAAACTCTCTTCTTAAATGGCTCTGGACACAGTTTGACTCCACATACAATGTGTGCATATTGACAAGATGGAACATACATGTGGTTCTTCCATTTAGTTCTCTCTCTGCGCAAGTCTTTAATCCTGATTTTATACATCTCATTTGGTGTTTTTACTCACCTTCATTACCCATAAAATTATGTCTCATCCTTAATCCCTTTTTATTTCTGTTGAAGGGTTTCCTTTCAGGCTATATAGGAGTGCAAACAGACCTGCTCACAGTTGAACTAATTTCCAGAGTAATTCCATGCAAATTAATGAATTTGCTCTGAAATAAATGAGTGTGAAGGAGTGCTGAAAACGTAACTACCATGCAAATGGAAGCTCAGTAGCCTCCTTCGTGACACTAAAGCATTGAATGGAGCCTTGTTGGAAACCTTTGTCACACATCTGTTTTTGTCTCACATTCTTTTGGAAAAAAAGGCACAGAACAAAGGTGGGATTTTTTTGTGTGTCTTAGATTAGCTTCGGCCTTTACACTCTTTCTTTAAATTTCTTTCTTGACTGTAGTTGTCTCCATGGATGTTTCTCTTTTAAACACTGGACCAGTTCAGGTCAGGATGTGACAATACACTCATGTTCTTTTGGGAATGATCTGTGGTCTGATTTTGTTTTTTTTTTCCTTTTCCTGTTAACTGTATGGTTAGAAAGCCCATTTCTTTAGAGAGGGTTTTTGCTAGCTCTGACTGTTGTCAGTCATGTCTGACATCTTAAGGGGGACCAGAGTTAGAGATATTTGCTGTGCTCTCTAGGCTTAAAAACAGGCATTGAAATTTTGCTGCAGAGAGATGGGTGTTCTTATCTTGAAATAGCTGTAAGACTTGCTGCAGAGGCCTTCTACAGTCTTTTGACAAAAGAAAAGGATGCCCATCTTTGGATGGTCATATCTTGTCTTCAGCCTCCCTCTTCTTTTCTGATTGACTGGTCATAAAACACATAAACTGCATTCACTTTGCAGTTGAGACAGAATGATCCTGAATGTTTAACTGCTATGCCCCAGCATCTTACCATTCCTCTTTCTTTCTCTGGAGGTGCATACTTACTTACCCATGGGCAGCATTAGGGTGTGAAGATGCATACATATGTCACAAGGATGCATAATTTAGAAGAAGTTTAAGCAGTTTCATAACTCCTATTCACTATTTTTGAGCACAGAGCTCATAGAACGTTATGCCCAAAGAACCTATTTCATGTCTGAAAAACATACTACTCTGACGAAACAGGGGAGTACTTTTCGTTAAGAAAAACCACACAAAACCCAGTCAGCATTAATTTTAGTTGCAGATTAAGATTAGAGAGGTAGCTCAAGAATAAAGCACCAGGTACTGTCATTGCTGATATTCTGGAGACAACTGCTGTGGCTGAAATGTCAGCTGTTTGTAACTTCTGCCTATCTTTGTTGCATGTGGAAGCCTGCTGCTGAGGAATGAATCGGACCATAAGGGCAGGAGTTTGGCTTGCATAAATTACTCTGATTCCTGGGGCTGTGAGAGTTTGTGCCAGCTGGGTATTTGGCTTCAATCTTTTTTTACTTGCCTTCCTGTTTTTTTTTTAAAAAAACCTTTTGTCAAGTAGCAGTCCTTTGAAACCAGCCCTGTGGTTGTCTTGCACTCACATCCTGATTATGTCTTTTCTACAAGGTAATGAGAAGTTTTGAGTGAGGCCCTAAACACACAGAACCCTTGATCTGCTTGTGTGCTCTCTGCCTTGCCAGGTATGAGGTGCGATGTGTTCACACTGAGGTCGAAAGAGCTCAGGGGATTTGCTGGCTTGTGCTGTAGTGTAGTTGGCTGCTTGTGTGTCCAGTCTTTTCAGACTTAATGAACTTCTGCTTGAACTCACAGTAAGGTGCATAAAGTGTTTGTTTTCTGTCTAAGTGGTGGTGATGATCCGAAACTTCTGTGCCTCTGCATGTGTTGGACTGTAGGTGATGCTAAGGATGAGTGAGTCCTGACTTGAGACTGGGCTTGAGTCTGTGTTTGAGTCTGTTTGACCAGGGAAACCTTGCTGTATTAGGGTTGCCGGAACAGGCCTGTGTATGGCATGATCATGTGTCTTAATGATATTTGTGTACTTTCTTTATCTTCTAGGAGAAGGGGAAAGGCCAGGGCTCTGATTCTACAGTGCTTTGCATCTTGTGTAGTCAATTCTACCCAAAGAAGTTTGACCTCAAAAGCACTGATGTTACCTAGGTCCTGTGGAGTCTGGATCCACCTTGTTCAAGATCCATTAGGGATCCTGAGGAACAAACAGGCCAAGAGAGAAATTGTTCTTGGGAATTTCACTAGATCCCCCCTCATTCTGACAGTAAGGGTTGTTCACCAGGCAAAGCTGTAGGTATATATTGTTTTTCAATTTTTTAGTACTTATAAGATTGTATATCAAAGGTTCCCCTCCCACTTTTACACAGATATTCTATCTCTGTGTTACAAAACTGAGTTGCTGAGAACGTTAGTTGTTTTATCAGTTACCTGTCTTGGCTTTTTATTGTCCCTTTTAACTTACAATACTGGTCTCTTAGGCTATTAAGTAAAAAGGATTACAATAGAAAGTAACTCACCCTGTTTTTTTGTGGTTTTTGAAAATGTGTTGACATTTTCTAAAATCAAGATGGTCTGTTGATCTTTTCAGAAAGTGTTTTCCTACTCATAACTTCCATAAAATACAGAGAGATGGATTGTTCCATGCCCTCATGCAGGATGATGGGAGCCCTCTCTCCAGTCAGTTAGGAGTGAGGGTGACTTCTTCCTGCCTTTAGAGGAGGTCATATTCTGCTCTTCCGTATCTCTCCAGACTGCAGACAAGGGTCTTGCTACACAGCATCCTCTCTGGCAGGTCCAATATTTGCAACATTCATATCATTCCTTTGAATGCAGACTACTGCAGGTAGATGTTTTTCTCCAAGACATTATAGGTCTAGGGATGTACAGGTTTATACAGCTGCTTCTTAAGGAAAGTTAGCTTCCCTGAGTTGCAAAACTCATTACATTGATGTTCTTTTTCTAAAAAAAAAAAAAAAAAAAAAAAAAATTATAAAAGTTGAGGGTTTTTTTTAATCCATCCAGTCAGTGATCACAAATGTCTAGGCATTAGCTTTAATTCAGTAAGAGCATGTATTTAGTACTTTGAGCTTAGAGCTTTGAAGTGTAACTCTAAAACCCAGTTTGACAAACAATGAAAGCCAGCCATGATGGGTGGGACTAATGGTTTAATGGTATAAACAAATGTGTTTAAATTTTATCAAGCATTAGGGGCTTGATCCTCTAACTAATGTAGGAAAGTGCTACTGAATACCATCTTGGTCTCTGTATATTTTAATTTTCATCACTATCTTATTGTAAATTTACATCAGTTAATATTAAATGGATATTTAACAGCAATATTTTGTCAATAATTATGCCTATTCTGAAATGCAGTTGATTTTCAGGTTCTAGGACAAGTGGCTTGAGAAGGAGTTTGACCAAATGGAAGAGTCACGTAATTCCTATTCTGCAGCTCTAGTAGATCCAAGGTCCAGCTCTATAAAAGTTAAGAATTTTGGGTAGGGTCTATTTATTTTGCGTGCTAGGTCCTGCATTTTAGTTTTGATTTCTATAGTAATCTCAGTGCTGAATAAATTTTGGGACACATAGGGTATACTGCCTTTCCATTGTTGACATTGATTTGTTCCAGGTCAGTAGCAACAAAAGCTTGCATCATCTGACTCCTATAATGTGAAGTTGTAGGGAATTGGTGAGCTTGGCTCTTTGCTGGTCTGGCTACTGCTCCACATTGTGAAAACTGTAGTCATAATTTTGG